TTCAGCAGGTCCTCTGAAGGGGCATACTGCTCCAGCACACTGTCCAGAGTTTCCACATACCACGAGCCACTTGAGGCCTCCCTCCAGGAGACAAAACCTTCAGAGAAAGGATGAGAATGTCACTGCTGAAGGTTCTCACCTCACCATGTTACTGCCACCCTTAGGTTGACATCTCCAAAGGAGCCTGCTGTCCCTTGCTGCCCCATCCTTTGGTTGTGAAGCTCCCAAGTTTTTTGATCATTGCCCTGTACCCAGGAAAGGATTGGCATGGGTTGTCTCACCTGGAAAAGTTGAGTAGGAGACCAAGATGTCACTGGGTGTGGGCAAACTGGCTACAGCATCAGGCTCGTCCACGTTACCCGGTGGAGGCTGAAAAGGAGTCGCATCCGACTCCGAAGAACCTCCAGGAGCTTCATCTCCAGGGGAATCAGATTCCACCACAAAGCCTCGATCCCGTTGTTCTGCAAAAAAGCAGGAAGAAACAGTTCCCTGAAATCCACCCTTCCCGTGTACCCAGCACATCCCAACACCCACTAAGAACAGATGGAAAAAGTAACATCAAATGAAAACCAGACAAAGCTTTTCGGCCCTTTCAGCTGCGCTGGTTGAGGTGGAGCCTTGGTCTGTGCTTCTCCACCAACCTTGTGGCTGAAGGCCTGGAGCAGCCAGTTGCTGTGCTGGTAATTCTCTCCTTTTCCCATATCCCTACCAAGCAGAAGGACCATTCCAGCAGACCCAAAGCACCCCAAGATGTGGCCAAGAGTAAGAGAAGATAGACGGAGAAACAGGCAACGAACAAAAAAAGAACCAAATCCCAAGCCAAACCGTCTCCAAAGCCTCCTGACACACACTGGCTGATCTGCTTTGGGAGCTAAAACAAAGAATCACCTCCACCACAGGCCTGGATGAAGAAGAGTTTGGGTTTCCCTCTCAAACTCGGGCAATGGGACCCATTGAAATAGTTCACAATCTTTTCGATTGGAATGGGTTTTCCATCCGTTCCGAAAACGCCGCCAGGAAACTGAATATGGCTCGTCTGCAAGAGGAAAATCCAGGAGCTAGTGATGTGGAAGGAGGGACCAGCTCCAAGGGAGTCTTCTTCTGCCCAGGTCCTCTCCTTTCTGCCTCTTTGTGACCTGAAGTCACCAGAACCAATCTCACTTTGTGGTGTCTGTGCGCATGCGCACGCTGGGCCAGGGGACACCCAGGAGAGGTTTCAAACACTGAACCCCAACAATCCAACTCTTCCTGTTGCCCAATTCCTGTCTCACCTCCTCCAGCAACTGGGTTCTTCATCCTCTGGGACAACAGGCACACAACACACACCCTTTCCCTGCTAACCATAGAATTATGGAATGGTTTGGGTTGGAAGGACCTTAAAGACCATCCAGTCCCACCTCCTGCATGGGCAGGGACACCTCCCACCAGCGCAGGTTGCTCCAAGCTCCATCCAACCTGCCCTTCAACACTGCCAGGGATGGGGCAGCCACAGCTTCCCTGGGCAACCTGGGCCAGGCTCTCACCACCCTCATGGAGAAGAATTTCCTCATGTCCAACCTAAATCTCTCCTCTCCCAGTTCTAATCCATTCCTCCTCATCCCATCCCTCCACACGCTGGTAAAAAGCTTTCCTGGAGCCCCTTCATGTGCTCTAAGGTCTCCTTGGAGCCTTCTCTTCTCCAGGCTCTCCTCTCCTCATCCTTTGAGTCCTCTGACTTGGATAAAGAGGTTTTACAGCTCTCACAAGCACTGACACTGCCTCTCCTCAGAAGACTTGTCCAATGGCAGCACTGGATGGGACCCCATGGGAGCAGCTCCCATCTCCTTGAAGACTGGAACTCTCTGCAGAGGGCATGGCCAGCAGGTCCATCAGGATCCTGTTCTAGCAGGGGGATTGGACTAGATGATCTTCAGAGGTCCTTTCCAACCCTGACCACCTTTGAATGTGACAGACCCCTGCCCTCCCAGAATGAGCCCCCTCCCTCAGGGGCAGCCCAGCTAAGGAGCCAAGGGAGCAGCAGGAGGAACCCACCTGGCACCCATGGGACAGGATGACCACGACGCAGCAGTCCAAGGTGGTGTGGTCCTGCTGTGCCAGCTTCTGCAGCTCTGAAACCATTTCCTGGGTGAAAAAACTCTGGGTCAGAGTCTTTCAAATCTCCCTCACCACCCTCACAGGGAAGAATTTCTTCCCAATGTCCAACCTAAATCCCCCCTCTCCCAGTTTGAAACCATCACCCCTTGTCCTCTCACAACAAGCCCATGCCCAAAGCCCCTCCCTTTGCAAGAGCCTGATTGTCTCTTCCCTTCCAGACACACCCCAGAAGGAGCAACCACGGCCTCCAGAGGTTCACCTCCCACCTCTCCCACCAACTGGGTGTGGTTGGTCTCACCTGAGCTGTCAGGTCCCTGCGAGGCAGGATGTGGAAGCCCAAGGACCTGAAGCGTTTCTCCAGCTTCTGGGAGTCCAGGTCGGAGCCGTCGCGCCTGGAGAGCCCCGAGGCCCTGCTGAAGGTGACGTTGTTGAGGATCAGGCAGTACCCACAAGGGTTGGCTCGAAGCTGGTACACCTGCCAGGGACACAGCCCACTTCAACACCTTCTTCTCTGAGAGAACTTCCACTGCCCCAGGTGTAGGGAGGGGCTGGAGGACCCGTTCTCCACCAAACCTCCTCCCTGGACAACTTTATCTGCAGTGGTTGGTGGCAATTGGAAGATTCCAGGAGGTTTCCTGGGCTCTCCCCATGAGAATCCAGACAAGGAGCCAAGAGAATGGGCAGAGAAACCTCCCAGAAACTCAGCCCCACAGGAATTCCTACAAGGGCTTCCCAAACACCTGCAGGACAGGCCACCAGCCTCACACCTACATGGCCAAACAAGCCACGTCCCACCAGAGGGCACCTCCAGACATACCCACAATATTCCCCCTTCCCTGTGCCTTTCCCAACGTGCCCAACCTGAGGAGGAAATTCTTCCTGTGAGGGTGGTGAGACCCTGGCCCAGGTTGCCCAGGGAAGCTGTGGCTGCCCCATCCCTGGCAGTGTTGAAGGGCAGGTTGGATGGGGCTTGGAGCAGCCTGGAATGGTGGGAGGTGTCCCTGCCCATGCAGGGGGTTAGATCTAGATGATCTTTGAGGTCCCTTCCAACCCAAACCAGTCTGGGATTCAATTATGATCATTTTCCTGGTGTCTGTACCAGCTGCTTTGGCTGGGTAGGGAAAACATCTGGTCTAACCAAATACTGACCAGATCCTCGTTCCTCTTGTCAACAGCCAGACCTACAACACAGAAGGAGATGTGATATTTAACTCACCACATTCCACAAGACTTTATACACCTTCCTCCTAGGATTCATGTCACCCCTGCTGTGTCAGTGACAGGTGTGAATTCCCCCTTCCCACCCCACCACCCACATTCCATCCCTCTGGAAGAACCTGCTCCATGGCTTACCCTGGGTCCTGGGAGGCCTTTCACTCTCAGCTTGGACAGGGATGGACACACGTTCAGGGAAGGTCCCACCTGTCACAACATGGGAGAGTCAGATCCCACCTTCTCCCCACTTCAATTTCATACTCTGGGTAACCAGCCCTGTCCCAGTGACTCTGCTGCCCAGGGCACGACACAGAATTGTGTCTCTTTGCCCCTTTCTGGTGGTTGACAGAGGAGAAGTTTCTCCTCATGGATCTGCACAGACTCAGCAGAGCACCAGATGCTGAGGACAAAGTCACTTCTCACCAAGGGACCACTGAGGTTGTGTGCAAAAACAGGGAGAATGAAGCTCCCAACACCCCAGAGCTGGAGCTTCCATCTTCCACTCCTGGGAAGAAGGACATGGTCCCAGCATGTCTTTGCAGCCACCTCCACAAGCCACATTCCAGGATAATAAAAATCAGGATTTCACTGACTAGTACCCATGGCCAGAATCATAACCACAGGATCCCAGCCTGGTTTGGGTTGGGAGGGACCTTAAAGATCTTCCAGTCCCACCCCCTGCACGGGCAGGGACACCTCCCACCAGCCCAGGCTGCTCCAAGCCCCATCCAACCTGCCCTTCAACACTGCCAGGGATGGAGCTTCCACAAATTTCCCCCCTTCCCAGCTGCTGGGAAAACATCCATCCCCCCCCAACACTCACCTCTGTCGTGCTTTTCTCCAGGCAGGTCCAGCGGGACAGGCCGCAGGTCCCGCGGCTCTGGTGGCACCAGAGGGAGCTCACACTCCTCCAGCAGCAGGTCTGCCAGCTCCCCCTGCCCTGTATCCCGCAGGATCGAGAGGAAGATGGGAAAAGCCTGATTCCCTCGGGTCTCCAGGTCGATGAGCAGCTGCCGGGCCTGCTCTCCTCGGCTGGGGGCGCTCTGCAGGGGAGGGACCCCCAGGACAAAGTGTGTTCACCCCCAGCCGAGGTGTGTGACCCTTCCAACCACTGCCCAGAAAGGGGAAACATGGGCATCCCCAGCCTGACCCCCCCTCCAGCCAGGAAGCCCCACTGAGACAGGCAAACATGGCCCAGCATGGGGTGGAGGGACAGGGAGGAGGGACCCTGGCCCTAGGGGCCCACCAGGCAGCCCCCCAGCCTGTCCCCACAGCGTGGGACAAGGTAAGAAAGGGAAGACACCCCTGGGCCTGCCAGCAGGACCAGAGGGGACATGGGGGCTCCTTAAGCCTGGCACCAGTTTGGGCTGGAGACCCAAGTAGAAACCCTGGAATTGGCTGGGGTGGGGGACAAGAAGGGACTGGGTGGGGAGGGGGGATCTTACACCTCGTCCCTGAGGGGGCCGGGGGCCAAGGGCCACCCCTGGGCCTGTCACTGAGGGGACACAGGGGCCACCCCCCGGGCCAGTCACCGGGGTGAGGGGACACGGGTCCCTCCCTCAGGCCGGGTGCCGGGGTGAAGGGACACGGGGCCTTCCCTCGGGCCTTGGATGTCCCCAGGGCCACCTCCCTAGGGCTGGGGGGACACAGAACCTTCCCTCAGACCTTGGATGTCCCCAGGGCCACCCCCCCAGGCCTGAGGGGACACAGGACCTTCCCTCGGGCCTTGGATGTCCCCAGGGACACCCCTCCCAGGGCTGCGGGAACA